CTCTCTGAACCTCAGTTTTTAACTCTGTAAAAAATGGTATTGACTTTAGACTTGCTAGAACTATTACAAATGTTATAAAGTATATACAGTGCAACCAGATTTAGCACATCCTTGTTAAATAATGATTAGTAACACCTGATGGCATGGCTTTGATATATACTAGGAGCATGAGCACAGCCCAGACCAGACTAAGACAATGGGATCTACCTATCTATTATCTATCTATCTATCTATCCATCCATCCATCCATCCATCTATCCTCTATCATCTATCTATCTATCTATCTATCTATCTATCTATCTATCTATTGATCATCTATCCTCTATCTATCTATCTATCTATCTATCTATCTATCTATCATCTACGTATCTATCATCTAATCATTCTCATAATATCCAAATGAAATATCAAAGTCAATTGGACTCCTTCCAGATTATCCTGGATTACTTTGATGGTGGATAGGGGGTCCTTTGCCTTCCATTTAGATGAGGGTTCTCTATTACCATCAGTAGAATTTTTAACTTTGTTAGCAAAACTCTGTGGCTTCCAAGAAGAGGAAGTCTAAGGACTAGTGAGCAAAATATCCTATGAGCTATTATCCATGTTGGGATTCTTTTGTGAGGGAAAGGGCTAGTTAACCTATAAGACTTCACAATTTCAAGCTTAATGAAGAATTGTTCAGAGCAAACATCTGGGCATTCTACCAATGAAGAAAAAGGGATGGGAAATGATGGAGAAAAGGAAAGAAAAAAGGATATGAATTAAATAAACAAACCAGGGGCACCTGGGTGGCTCAATCGGTTGAGCTACTGACTCTTGATTTCTGCTCAGGCCATGATCTCACTGTTCATGAGTTCAAGCCCTGTATGGGCTCTGCGTTGACATTGTGGAGCCTGCTTGAGATTCTTCTGCTTTCTCTGCCCCTCCCCCGCTTGTGCTCTCTCTGTCTCTCTCAAAATGAATAAACAAACTTTGAATAAACAAACCAGACAAAATATTCCTTCAAATCCATTTTGGAGTCTCACTTAATTGACTAAGCTGTGTAAAAACACAGTAACTTCTTTAATTGGTTATCTTGTGGGCAAAGCTTACAAGTAACCTCTCTGGTGTACCTGTGACATAGTATGAGGATTCATACTACGCAAAGCCTCATCTGCAAAGTCAGCCCACATGTTTCAGGATTTCTAAGTGTCAACATGTCAGTATGGTTTAATGTTAGTCATTTATTTCACTCCCAAGGCTTATGGCACTTTGAGTTACTACTTGTAAATACAGCGTATATGTCTCTACTCTGGTGGATTTACTGTTTCTATTTTGTCCCACTTTTTCCCTCCACACAGCCATTTTTTAAGAAATGTAACTGGAAAAATTTTCCCTTTATATATAGGACTAGACTGAATGAAACTGAGTCCTGAGTGTGCCTTCAAAGTCCCAGCCTCACTTTTTATGACCTCTTCCCCAGGCCAACAAGCTTCTTCTCCAAGCACTCCATCACTTTCGGTGGAATGGCTTGCTTATCCTAGCCCTGTAGGCCCATGACACTCCTCTGGACATCCTTGACCAGTGAATAACTGTTTTTTCTTCTTGTTCCAAGATGAAGGAGTCAACTAATAAATGCCTGGGGCAAGTGGATTGTAACTTGGGTCTCTTTTAGACGATGCTTTAGTTTGTTACTAAACACATGAGCCCCTGTGATGTTGGAGAGAATCTGCTGGACCATATATTTTGGGATGGGTGGACTTTATGTTTCTTTAAAAATCACACTGTATGGGTAGCTGCTAGAAATACCTCTCCTAGAACAGTCACTCTTACATTATTCTTCCTTTGAAACAACAATCCCAGGAACTTCTTGGTTAAGTCTTTTTGGGCCAGGGAAAGAGTTAAATTAAAGTAGGAACTGCTGAGACAGAGAACAAAAATGCTGGTCACAGATATTTGATCTTCATCTAGATTTCTTTTACCTGCTTCCTCCTGATTTCTCTCTCTCTCTCTCTCTCCAGCTTCTTCTAGGCTAAGAATTGAAAATTCAGGGCTCCTAGATGTGTCAACAATCCCACGAGGTCAACACAAGCAATGAATTGTTGCTTCCCTTTTCTCTGTACTAAAGGCAAGAAGGGCCCAGATTTGAAACTTGAAAAGAATAAATCTTAACCATAAACACTATCTTTCAATCAATACTGACTTCCCTCTTCTCAAGAAATTGCCAAAGGAAGAAATGTAAGATCTGGTTTTTAATTAACTTTGCCATTGATTTCCACATAACTGTGTATGAGTCACTGTTCTTTGGTGAAAGGGATGAAAATCTCCAAGATGAATGGTTGTTCTTGGGGATTTTTCTGTACCAAGTTCTAGATATTCTACAATTTCTCCTTTTTCTCCCCTCTGGCCTCATATCTTACTCTGATCTTTGCCCTAACACACAGAGACACACAGAAACACATGTACATCTGTTCACACCAAATGTGCTTTCAGAATGAAAATATTGTTGGGATGGGGGAGGTGGGGAAGAGAGGTTATTATGTACATTTAGTAAAAGTCCTATGCTGTGGACCTAGTGCTGTGGACCTAGTCCTATGCCATTTCACCTAGTTCATTATAGTTTTTAACTAATTTATTCATACCAAGTATTATGCATTGAATGAAAATGTAGGCATGGGTAAGTGAGAAGGAAACTGGTTAGTGGGGACCTTAAAATGTCTATCCAACAGATTGACACACAATATATTTTCGATATTAGAAACTGAAATACTTATTTTCCTACTCTACTTTCCCTGCTCTAACAGTCTGTGAAAAGATATAGTAATAGTGTCTGAAAGGAGAGAAAAGTATCATACTGTTACATTAGAAATGTAAAATAGAATGCCATTGGTGTGATTTCATAGTGAACTAAATACACTGCACATCTCCCCTCTAATATGTTATCACTCTAGTTCATCTTCAGCTGTTGGATTAACCATATTTCTATCTGCTTTTCTGTTTCTATCAGTAAGCATATCTGTATCTCTCTATATTTATCTCTATATCTATAAATATTTTTAATTGTATGAGAGAGAGAGAGAGAGAGAGAGAGAGAGAGAGAGAGAGAGAAAGAGAATATCTTAAGCAGTTCCATGCTCACTGCAGAGCCCAATGTGGGGCTTGATACTACCATCCTGGGATCGTGACCTGAACTGAAATCAAGAGCCGGGTGCTCAACCGACTGAGCCACCCAGACGCCCTTCTCATTTATGTAAATTGCAACTCCATTTTTTCCAGGCACGCAGGGACTGATCCCGTGATCCTGGGATCATGACCTGAGCTGAAATCAAGAGTCAGACACTCAACCCATTTAGCCACCTGGGTACCCCAGCAAATTGTTTTTAATGTCACATCTTCATGGATTTTATGTAAGATCTTAATGCATTGTCTAATGAAATACATTATTTTCCAATTGTGATTGATCCAAAATTTGAGCACTGATCACAATCATAGGAAAATATCTGGCCAGTACCTGTTATTGCTATTTTAAATGTGACGTTATTTTTCTTTTTATGTCTGGATATGTTTTTGTGCTTAAACTCTACAGGGACTAGATAACAAAATTTGTTTAGTTATAGAACAATCCTATAGAAACCAATGGGATTTAATTATATGAACTATTGATCCAGTGCCTGCTGCTTTCCCATTGGTCCCCCAAATAATGAGTGTTACCTCAACTCCGCAGTTAAGCCTCCCTCTCCCTGCCAACCCAAATCCTAGACTTTCTCTGGACCCACTCTTCCCTCCCTCATGACCACTGTCTAAATCTCTGGCCCCATGAGTTGTGCCTCCGAGTTACTTCCATCATCCACTGGTCTGGCTGCCCCTGCTCTGGCCTGGCTGCAATGTCCTTTCTTTGGGTTCCTGAAAGAGCCTTCGGGTGACCCTGTCTCTTCTTCCTCAGATTCCTTTCCTTCAATCCTTTGTCTGCTTTCAGCCAGAGTGGTTGTGACCTGTCAGACCCTTCGTATTCCCTTGCATTTTAGCCACGCTAAACTCCTGTCCCTCCACCATCCTGGCCCTATTCGCTCTCCTTTTGGGGCCTTCCAATATGCTGCTTCCTCAGCCTAGAATGCCTGCTTCTCCATCTTACAGTCCTCCCTTCACCTGATTAACTTGTCATCGTAATTTAGCTGTACCTTCCTCCAGGAAATCTTCCTTGGTTGAGTACATGTTCCTTTGGCTTCTGGCTTCTACTGAGGAAGTGCTCATCCTTCTTTGAGTACTCAAATGTTTTTCTTTTTTGTTTAACTATAAACTATGTGAGAGCAGGGACCATATCTGTCTTCCTCACCATAGTATCTCCAGAACCTAGAATGATGCCCAGAATGTGATGGACACTTTTATTTTTTGAATGAATTTTCCTTTTTTGTTTTTAAATCCTTTTATCTTATACTCACCAATATTCCAAGTGCTATTTTAAAGTTCTTTATGAAGTCAGATTTTAAAGCACAAAGATGAGTAGTTTTATTTTACTATAATAACTAGGTATTTGGTATGAACTCTAAGTTTTTTTTTTTTTTTTAATTAGCCAGAAATGATTCTGTGTGTCTGAACCGGTTAAGAGGACTCATCAAAACAGCAAACTGGAAAACAGATGACATTTGACAAACAAACATTGTGAATGGGAGCTGAGTAATGGAGAACAAACCAACACTCAAACTTGTTCTGGAAAAAAAAACCCTGTTGATTTATTATTATTTAGAAAGCACACACAGCAATTTATCGAGAAGAAGGAGAAAAGGCAAAATAAGTGAGCATACAAATTCATTTTAAAAGATCCAGTGGCACTTCCCAAGTAATATCTGTCTCTGTGAGCTTTTTAAAGCTGTTGTATTTCGCATATCTATATGCATACCCAGAGTTATGAATATAGATACAGGGAAACACATCACACACTTGTCAGGAATCTTTCCTCCCCAAAACCTGTAGTGAGCGTATCGTTTTCCTTCCTGAAAGCTGCCTGCAGGTGTTTTCTTGGATCATGCCACAGTCTCTTTCCTCTGAGTTCGTCTCTGATGACAAGTAAGGATACTTGTGAAGGGAGATTTCCCCTTAGTTCTTGACTTTTTCTTTAGCTTTTTCTGATTTTTGAGTGAGATTCCCAGTTCTTCCATGATGGCATTGAAAGAGAGACACTAGAGAACATGAAATAATAGAGCATCAGTTTAACCTAACTAGCTGCCCCCTCCACTGATCTGTCTCTCACCAATACAAGATATTGGTCTAAGGTAACTGCCACACTGAAAATTCCCGGCCAGTTCCCACACCTCCTCCTCCACCCACTGGCCATTCGCCTTTTCTACTTGGGGAAATGGAGGCAGCAAGCTAGCTGGGTAGACTTTGGGCTTTCATTCACAAGATGCAGTATTATAAAACTACCCAGTTAGGCTCTCAAAATAGACAACTTACCTTTGCCGAGACACCAAAATAGAGTTAAGTTAAGTCATTTCCCCCATTGAGATGATCCAAACATTGATAGGTTTATCAAGGCATACAGGACACTTCAGTAATGCTATAGAAAATGAACAAACCTTCTCTACACCAAGGCTTTGTTTTTTTCTCCCATGAAACCTTACTTTGTTCCTAAAATAAAATCTAATTCTTGATGACTTTCCTTTCTGATAAAAAAAAAGAAAAAAAACAATTTTAAATTGTATATTTTCTCCAAAAAACAGAGATCTGGCAGCAGCAATGATGCAGCTGTGGTTGAAATGAAAATAATATGGTACCGAACCGCACAGCAAAGATGATGGCATAATACGAAGAGAAAATGGAGTGATGATCATGAAACGTCACGTGAGTGCAGATGGCGTATATATGTACGTAACTATTACAATTCCACTGTTATGTATTCGCATGCACAGTGTACAATGGTGTAATCAAACATAATTTGCTACCAATTTTTCTAGCCAATATCAGATCTTTGAGTGATACATTCCTGCTAATAGAGATTTCCATAACTTAGTGTTGTTCTTGATGAGGTAACCCTTAAAACACCCTTAAAATCCGCAAGCCTTTGGTAAGGTGTAAGCAAGTGCAAGCATGGGACTCCTTTGTCATGAACTCACAAAACGGATGGCTTGAAAGTCATATGACCACGTGCCACCCAATGATTTCTCTAGGCTGTGAGCTTCTGACAGGAAGGAAACTGGTGTTTCCTGTGTTCAAAGTAGGAAATGTCTCCTCCGGTCCTTGCGTATCAACGTGCAACATGTATTTTTGAAAATTTACACTCCAGTTTTGTTCCACAAAAAAGTTGATGTCATTTAAATAAGCAATAGTTTTAATTTTTCTACTTGATTTGAAAGCTAGACAGATACATTTGGTTCCTAGATATACATTGCTGGCCTACCAGATGTACACCTCTGAAAAAGTAGTAGTTTTTGTATGACTTCTTGTCTCTTTTGCACGTGTTTATAGACTTTGAGTTTCATTTTCATTTTCATATGGCACTAAGAATTCATGTCATTCGTGTTCATTTTCTTTCAAATCATAAGTTGTGGCTTCAGTGAATTGAGAGGGGGATCATGCCACCCAAAGAAAAACTTCAGAAATGTTTTCTATGAATTATACTTACAAAAAGTGTTATAGCACATATGTCACAACGGAAATTTAATGTTTTTTGATAGCATTTTGTGATGTGAAATTTTTCTGTTGCTACCAGACGAACTGCATATTTTATAGTGCCATATGACACATGGTACTGTATCGGGGTCTTGCAAATTTTGCTCAGAGAGATATTTCAATGGAAGAAGTGTTTTTGTGTTTTGGGTTTGTTTTGTTTTGTTTTGCATTTTGCACAGGACATTTCTAATTTCAGGAAGATCATTAAAATGGAAGGAAGAGAGGGAAAGAAGGAGGAAGTGCAAAGGACTTTATATACACTATTACAAACAAATCTTACAGCAACCTTATAAGGAAGGAATTCTTATGCCCATTATATAGGTGGGGAAATTTACTATTGGAAATGTTAAGTAATTTGCCCAGGAAATGTGGTTCGTAAGAGCTTGCATTTGAACTCAGTCTATCTTATTTCACAGACTCAACTGCTTTCACTTGACATCAACACCTTTTTTTTTTTTTTT